ATATTAAATTAATTATTATTACTGCTATATTTTAAAAAAGAAACAGCTTTATTAGTAAAAGAGTTTTTAATGAGATTAATCATCAGATCAGTTTTTGTGCATTGACATGGAATTTACTGTTCTAATCTCGTAAAAACAAACATCTTATTCATTCTATGATTATAATTAGAATTAAAATTCATAAAAAATATTTATTTTTTATAATTTGATTTGAGATTTGAATTACAAGGATTAAGCCATCGTTTGGTATTGTTTTCCAAACTATGGTTAATCAAAATATTTTTATAATCTAATTTGAGACTTGAATAATGAATTAAGCCCTCGTTTGGTATTGTTTTTCCAAACGAGGGCAGCTAAATTTTAAATTGTTTTTATTTAAAATTATTTTTGTAATTATTTAGATTGTTTTGATATAATAATATTAAAAATAATTTTTTTCAAAAAATATATTTTATTTTACTATATTTTCATGTAAAAAATATTTTAAAAATTAAAACACGTTCCCTTAGCTATAATAAAACCCCTGTTAAATTATTTTAGAAGTTTTTTCACATATTCAAGTTAATTTATTGGATAATAATCGTTTATCAGTAGTTGTCTAGTCAGTACAGAGACAACGAAAAACCAGAGCACTTGTCTTTAAGCTTTATCTTCATTTTCTTGTTAATTTTATCGGTTGTATATTTTTTTCTTTTGCTTATTAACATTAATGTTTTCCAGTTGAATTTCAACAAATAATCTACATTGAGATTAGTATATATAAAAAATATTCCTCATGTTCTCTGTGATTCAGTGAGTATTTGGAGGCATATTACTTTCTGTTGAAACCAGAACCTATAATTTAATTTAAGATTTGAATAATGAGGATTAAGCTCTCGTTTGGTATTGTTTTCCAAACGAGGGCCGGCTAAATTTTAAAATTTTTATTTTAAATTATTTTTTTAATTATTTAGATTGTTTTGATATAATAATATTAAAAATAATTTTTTTCAAAAAATATATTTTATTTTACTATATTTTCATGTAAAAAATATTTTAAAAATTAAAACACGTTCCCTTAGCTATAATAAAACCCCTGTTAAATTATTTTAGAAGTTTTTTCACATATTCAAGTTAATTTATTGGATAATAATCGTTTATCAGTAGTTGTCTAGTCAGTACAGAGACAACGAAAAACCAGAGCACTTGTCTTTAAGCTTTATCTTCATTTTCTTGTTAATTTTATCGGTTGTATATTTTTTTCTTTTGCTTATTAACATTAATGTTTTCCAGTTGAATTTCAACAAATAATCTACATTGAGATTAGTATATATAAAAAATATTCCTCATGTTCTCTGTGATTCAGTGAGTATTTGGAGGCATATTACTTTCTGTTGAAACCAGAACCAAAGAACATATAAATGTTTTCATCAACTCTAAGCCTTGTAAATGAAAATCCAAATTAAAACTAAAAAACATAAAAATATTTTTATTAATTTTAAAAAATATAATTTAATTAGTCAGATTTTAAATTTATTTTTTAAAAATTACCGATTTAAGTTTTATAAATTTCATGATTATTAAAAATTTATATAATTTTTAATTTAAAAACCCATAAAATTAATTAAAATATATATAATTTGACCTGAAAAACATATTAATAATAATAATAAATAAATAAAAGGTTTCGTCATGAGATTTAAGACAGACCAAATATATGTTTTCACTTTTCAGTAGTGCACTCCTTCACCAGTTTGTCTGCTTATTAAATACCTTAGATCAATCGGTTCATCACAATCATCCATCGTCCACAATGGATTGCCCGTGAGTGATCTCTCTATAAAATTTGAGATTTACAAGAGAAGATTTTAGGTTTAAATACTGTCAAAGACGGAAGTTGAAATTCAGGAATTGAGATAGGTACTTCTCACTATATGATTCAAAACACACATGCTCTCCGTTGGATTACCAATATATATATATATGGAGAAGGTGCTGTTTGGAATGTTGATCTTTGAGTTGTGATTTAGCAGTCTAAATAATATGACAGAGAGTTAAAGGAGATGTAATTCCTATAATCCTTTTTTTAGAAGTGCTGGATTTATGTAGAACAATACCTCCTCTTTTTTTTTATCATATTTGATATATTCATATATACCAGTGATGATCAACCAAAACTCACTCCATCTACACTCAATATGATGATAAATATGACTCTGTAAAGGATACATACATACATACATATGATGAACAATTATATATGAACTTATAAAGTTTAATATGTATTTTTGTCTCAATTTATCTGACTCAATCATTTTAGTAAAATCTAATTTTTTAATTTAATATTTATTGATATATATAATTCTCAATTTATTTTATAAAATACATTTAATTAATATTTTTTTATTATATAAAACATGTTACCATGCCCACGTTTGTTTTATTTAATGTTGACAAAATAAAAAGAGCTTGATCCGTGGTGGAGTAAAATTGCTCAATAATTTGGCATATTAAAATTAAAACAAAAATCAATCATTTTGGTTTGATTTCTTTTTTCCTTAAAATTTAAGCATGATTATTTAGAATAGGCATGAATGGATAGATGAATACAAAGTTAATCAATCAATTACAAGCATAACTTGGAAACATATTCAGTCCAGTACCCAGTGCCTTGTTGTAAAAAATTTGAATTCTCTTGTGTTTTTAAATTTTAAATAATCATTTCAACCTAATATTTTAAATTTTAAATTGTTAGATAAAGTTTCAACATATAATTTATATTATTTTTTATAGAAGCTTTGTAAGGTTAGTAGACTTTTTAACATATAATTTATATTATTTTTTAATATATCTTCTTAAATAAAAAAAAATTGAACTCGAAACTTTTATATATTTATATTATCTTGTATTTAATTTTTATTAAATAAATAAAAATTATAAAATTTGAATATATAATTGTTTTATTATTAAGATTTTAATACTACATAAAAAATCATTTTAATTTACTAATTTAAATTATTAAATAAAATTTAAGATATAATTTTTATTAATTTTTATTTTTTAAAATTCAGCCACAAGTTATATCTTGATGATAGAAGATGTAAAATATAAAACGAGCCCCAAATTCTCTGACAAGGCAAATTTTCTAGAAGATTTAAGTTAGATACATCTTTCCATCTACTTAATTCAAATGATTGAAAGTTTCCCATCATTGTACGATGGATCTTATGAAGATTGGCGTGTTATATATATATATATATATATCTTTCAATGCTATTTTTATTTTAAATTAATATGTGTATTTGGATTAGTTTATATATATTATGATTAATTATAGAAGCTTTAAAGTTAATAATTATAGAAATTTTTAATAAACATTATATAAACAATTAAGAATTTAAATATAAAATCATAAAAAAATAAATTTCTTGATTTTAAATTTTTATGACCTGTACATAGATATAGTTATCTTGCAATGCTACTTAATTTGTCAAGTGATTGAAAGTTTCTCAACATCGTACGATTCTATGAAAACTGGCATTGGAAAATTGACATTGTGGTTTATTTAAGCTATTTGATTCGATCAAGTATTTGTTCTAACTAGCATGACGAGGATGCATGCGTTTGAAAACTGACCTTTGATTTTTTTCTTTCGAAAAGTATTGATACCTTACAATTCGATTTGACAAAAGGTGTAGATATTCTTCTTTAAATAACAAGATCAACTTAGATTAAAATAGTCAGCAACTATTGATGCTAGATAATCTCGTTGGTGGAATTATTCAGCATTGTTTCAAATTAATGATTTAATTTGAGATTCTATCATTTTGGGATAAAGAAATAGCTGAATTAATTATTATGCTTTTAAAATTAAATTGAATTACTGTTGTCTATAAATTCTAAGCTTCATAAGATATTGATCGATTATAATCAATAATAATCACGGGATGTTTTTATTTATTTAAATATTGCCCTTATATATGGGACATGATCAAGTTCCATGTCATGTCCTTCTTCATGGCAAATTGTATAACGTATGAGGTTGACTAATTGTCGTTTTGAAAAAAATATTAATTTTTTTTAAAATATTTTTAAAATATAAAAACAAACAAATTTATATATAATACTTAAATTAAAATATCAGTTTGATGAGTTTTTGTTGCCCCTCCCCAATCTGCCATTGCTCTTAGTTGGCAAATAATAAAATCCAACAATGTCTATAGAGAAAAATGCATAGTTACTATATAAACTTCACTGATTTTTTTTTCTTAGTTAGGTACTCTAGCTTCTTCTTTTTTATATCAATTTACTTGTTTGATGGAATAATTCAATTCTTGATTTTATTTTTCAGTGGAGTATTTTAACTCTTGATTTTCCTCAATCAAGCGGTAAAAATCCCTATAAATAATATATTTTAATAATTAATAATAGCAGTAGTAAAAATAAATATATGTCACAGCGAATAAATCACTTTTGCTATTAGTTGTTTTCTTGCATGCTGCTGTCTATTTTGCACTTGCATTGTTGGGGCCGTGCAACGATCAACTGATAGCTGGACACCCAGTATTTCCATTGATCATTCTCCAACCTTGATTGCTGTCGTATCTCAAATTACAGAAAATAAGTATGAATTAACACTCTATAATAACCATGTTCATCATTTCTATGCTATTTTAAAAAATATATATATATATATATATATGGATGTAGAATTGAAAATAAACGCAATTTATCTTTTTTTTCCAGGTAATATTGCTTAGTTAACCATTTAGTATGGTACAAGAAGAAGAAGAAGAAGAAGAAGAATCGTCTTGTTCCTGTATTTTTTTGCTTCTATTATTGGCTTGTGTTTTCTTTAATATATTTTCGATGATTATCCAAAATAAGAAGAAGAAGATTGAACAACTAAAATATAGAAAGAAGTTGAAATCATAATTGATTCCTTTATTTTTTCAATAAACACATAACAATATTTCTTAATTATATAAACACGTAATAAACACTAAAATGTTTCACCCCAACTGGTTCTCCACCCTTTCGTAATCTGACACATAAATATTTATATATGTGTAATTATTAGGGTTATACTGATTAAAATAGACAAATTATATAGAATAGTAATGTCACATGCAATCCTACACACACTTGATCACTTCCTTAAACCAAGCACACAAACTCACAGAAATCCCATGATCATAAAGACCATAGATAGCTAAAGAAAAAAGCTGCCATCTTCATGATCTTGAACCCCAAAAGCACGGCTAGGACAATTCCTGTTAAGAAGCTCTTCAATCATTTGCAGTGCCACTCTCTCTTCTTCATCCATTTCTTCTCTCCGTTCTGGTCCTGATGTCCCTCCTGGAGACTGATCAGGCAATGGCAATGCACTCTCAGAAACTTGGCTCTCATCTCTCTTTCCAAGCTGCACTGTCATGACCCAATTTGAGTCAGACCGCTGACCAGCACTCTTTTTCCAAATCCCAATGGAATTCTCAGCGTCAAGCCTCAAACAAGTCATTGATGGTGATGGCGCCTTGCTGCACTTTCTTAGCTTGGCATGGAGGATCTGGGACAAACCATTTGGTGGTGTTGTGAGTGAAGGTTGATCACTTGATTTTGGGTCATCTTCATTCGAAGTTTGAGGCATGGGAAAGTTAGTTTTCGCATTACGGCCACTCATCAAGATTGCAGCTTGATCATAGACTCTTGCTGCCTCTTCTGCTGTTTCAAAAGTTCCTAGCCATACCCTCCTCTTCCTGCTCCAAACATACCACAGATTAAAAAGCAAGAGCATTATACAATAAGATCTTATAATATTTGAAAGAATTAGACAAAAGTATAAGTAATTATAGCTAGATGGGTTCGGTAAAGGAAGCTAGCTTACAATAAAGGATGTCTAATTTCAGAAACCCAAGAACCCCAACGTCGCTGCCTCACCCCCCTGAACTTTTTTGATAGCACCATGTTTTGTTTTTTTTTTTTTTGTGGGGGCCGGGGGAGGGGTGTGGCGGGGCGCTTTTCAGTACTGACAAAAGAAGAGAGAGATCCTGAGAAGATACAGAGAAATTGTAGTCGAAATAGAAGCTTTTCACCGTGAAGCTTGGTGTATTGAATAAGATCACCAACAACTTCACTCAAGTAAATATACCTACCCCAATTTAATAACCGGGGCTTGCTTTGCATGCAATATAGTACTGTAGTAGCTAAGGCTTTTATGCCAAAAGGAAAGCAAGATTGAATCTGATGATGGGATGATAGTACGGCAGTAATTATTTACTGATCAGTGTAGAATAATATTTTCCAATTTCGATAAAACATCAATACCAATTAGACTATTATTTAGGATACAATAATTTAAATCCAATTATTTAACCAGCGTCGGCATCATTTCACTGGTGCCAATATTAATACGGTGACCATGACGAGTTAATAATTAATATCAGTCATTTTAAGTAACGCAGAGTACTTGTTCTCCCCAATCCATATACATCTGATATAGATGATTACTGCAGATTAATGGCTAAAGTTAGAGCAACATTTGATGCAAATTACAGTGGAGTTATGGGATGATGGGTACGTGCAGTGCTGTAAACATTTGATGACTAGGGATCATTGTCATACCTTTTATTTTGAGCAATTATTGTCCTACGTGCAGAGACCACACATAACTTCAAATGCACATTAATATAGGTCGTTAAAAACTCAATACAGATGGTAATGCTTCTGGTCCCCTTCGATAATGATATGCATGTGTCCAACATTTATATATACGTGGAGCTTTTTTAAAATGTAACACCTGCCATGTTTTTTCTTTTTCTTTTTTCAAACTAGCACAAATGAAAAAATTAATTGGAAAAACAACATTGCATTAGTTCTAAAATAATTTTTTTAATAGATTTTACATTCTATTAAAAAACTTAATTATGTATTTTATTGTAGAAAAGAATAATTAAGAATCGAACTAAACAATTGCCCCTTGATTTTTTTTAAAACAAACAACAGTTTTCTAAATGTATAAGAAAATATTTTTATTTTGCTAAATAAAAAAATAGATAGATTTTGTTCACCCAAACGTTTATAAATTTTCTTAAAAAATAAAAATAAATATTTATTATCACTTTTATCATTATTACCAACATTAGCATCGCCACCATTATCATTATTACTACTATTATTGTCACTACCATTATTATTATTATTATTATCATTTTTATTTCTATTATCATTGTTATTATTATCACTATTATTAATATTGTTGTTGCTATTGTTACCTATTTTTGACCCTATAAAAAATCAAGGAAAAAAAAAAGAAAATTCAAAATATAAAAGGATATACATGAAAAAAGCCTAGAAAATTATCCAAGTTGATGGTGAAAGACCATAATGACAAGAAGAAAAGTTAGAGGACTAATATGTATAAGATTGATAAAATTAACAACTCAATTTTGATTAACAAAGAGCCTATTTGGTGAAAATATTTTTCTTTAGGGTAAAGAAATATAAATTTAGATAGATAAGGACTCAATAAGAATTTTTAAAGACTTAATTAATTTTATCAAGGACTTAATTGCAAGAAAAATTGATATTTGAAGTCGACTTAGACTTAATTGGAATAAATTAAACTCTAAAGGTTGATATACAATTTTAAAGAGTTAATTTAGTAAAATCAGGGTTTTAATTGCATAAATATTGAAGTTTAATAGGCAATTAGAGACTTGATTGAAGAAATCCAAAATCAAGAACCAAACTTAAAAAAGACATTTGAAAGTAGGAGTTGGAATTGATCAAATCATGGGTCAAATTGAAAAAAATTAAAAGTTTGATGATAATTAAGGGTCCAAGTACACAAATTAAAAATCAAGCAACAAGATGAAAATGATGTTAAACTTTGGTGTTGGTGATTGAGTTTAGCAAGTGAGCAATCAAGAGTATGAAGACAATTACGAGTACAATTAAAAATAATTAGAAGAATATTGACTAAAATAAAATTTGTCACATCCAAATTTAAAAACCCTAATTTCTAGGGTATAATCTAGATGATGTGTCGTTCAACCACTATTTAGCTTCTTCTCTGATAGTTTCTTGATATTTCTGACCACTTTTAGATGTGTAATCACCATCATTCAACTAAGAAACATTCCCTCTAGAAAGATGAGTTACTCTCATAAAATATTTATATCTCATTTTGTTCAATAAATTTAACAACATCTTATCCCCGATCAGTCATCACTGTATTTTCAGATTTTTTGGGTGATCGAGTTGACACTTTCAAACGAATGAATATAGAGCTACAAACCTTCAAATCGAGTAAGGTTGAATCCAAACAAAAGGTGTGCACCCCCAGTTTCAACAATGATGACATTAGAGTTGCTTTAACAAAGTCTCGAAAATGGTTAACTCAGTCATCGATAGTTGTGATACCTATTTTATAAAACCATTAATTTTTTTCATGTGTTCATGTTTCAAGTCTAGAAACAAGCTTCTTGGCCTTCAAGTTTGGAAAACCATTAAAATCTCCAAAAACCAAATTTGTTACAAAACCACCATTGAAAAACCAACATAGGTATAGATTTTTTCATGTGTTCATGTTTCAAGTCTTATCAATGGGTTCTTATCAAAAGTTGGTTATGTTTCTCTTAAAATCAAAAGGCTAGAAACAAGCTTCTTGGTCTTCAAGTTTGGAAAACCATTAAAATCTCCAAAAACCAAATTTGTTACAAAACCACCATTGAAAAACCAACATAGGTATAGAGCTCACAACTATAAAATGTACTTCAAAACCCTTTTATTTTGATTAAAAGTTAAGTTTGATCAATCTATGTTTGAACTTATAAAAAACCCTAGCAAAACCCTATAAATATTCCCTGAAAAATAAGGGGGAAAAATCATGGCGAGGAAAAAATTAATAAAGAAACTCAAAATCGTGAAGCTTTAAGAGCCTAACATAAAGATTTCCTCAACTTGAAGAGAAAGTAACAAACTTGAAAAAGAAGAAACCAAAGGGCATTAACCATTGTTCGAGCTTGAAAGGTATAAAACATTCACTTATATGAGACTCTCTCTACCCTTTCTAAAATGAATGGATAGCTCATCAAAGGAATATTAATGAGGTTACAATTGTCTATAACATCATAAAATCTTGTAACAAGGATAGAGGATAAAGATTATCTTCCCTCTTATCTTCTAACCAAAGCAAATCATTAAAATCTCTAATGTATACCCAACGAAAATTAGATATTTTACTAAGAGTTCTTAATAGGTTTTATGATTCCTTGCACCTATGTCATTCTAAAAACCCATAAAACCCTATTAAGCTTTTGAAAAAAGATTTATACCCACCACTTCTAAATTCACATGATTTTGAGAGTATTTAATTAATGTAAATGCCACTGAACCTTTCTAAAACACAGCCGAACCACCCCCTTGCCAATATGTCAACTTTGAAACACCCATCAAACTTAATTTCCCCTCTAATAGATTTAATTTTACTACTATTAACTCTAGTCTCCAAAATAAAAACAACATCTAGCTTTCTAGACATCATTAGCCCTTTAAGAGCTTGAACTACATAAGACTTGCCAAATCCTTATGGTAGGCCTAGTTATCAGATCCTGCCATTACTTTATGTTCATCAGATGTGCCCACAATCTCCATTGATGAGAAAGCTGGCCTAACAAAAATAGTCTCATTTATAAAGCCCTTTGAACTTGTATTATCATATCTCGAGCCCACTATTCTTTTCTTTATATTATCTAGTAGCTAAGGCCTAACATTTTTTGCTTAAATAGCTCCTCTTGAACAAACTTAGCCTTTCCCTATATGCTTTTAATGTCATCTGTAATAGATGTAACCAAAATGACTAACAGAAACATGGAATTAAATGACATGTTTAATTGTTGACCTGCAACAAATGTAATGATTGTTAAGCTTTTCTCCCCCACCCCGTTACTGTCCCTCAACCACTAGTTATTGTCCTCATCTCAAAACCAAAATAAAAAAGTTTAATCCTTTTTTATTTAACAAAATTGGACAAAAGGATGACTTAATTTTATTAAGAAATCCAAAATATTAGGAATTTAATTATCTTCTTCTTGAGCTATATGATTCAATGTGAAAAAAAATCAAAACCACAAGGAATCTAGTGGTTTTGGAAGGAACAATTAAATTCCTAATATTTTGGTTTTGAGATGAGGTTAAACTCTACCTCTCGGTTAACATTTTGTTTGCATTATTGGTTAAGAAATTTTGTTCTTATTTCTAGTACTTTCAATGTTTATGATTTTTATCTTTATTGTAATGATGAATCCCATACATATCTAACATGTAGACCCTATTTGTTTTTACATTTTAAAAATGTTTTTTAAATTGAATTTTTATTTTATTTTAGTGTTTTCAAATCATTTCGATGTGTTAATGTTAAAAATAATTTTTTTAAAAAAAATATTATTTTAATATACTTTTTAGCGAAAAAATACTTTGGACTATTTAGGTGTGGGATGTAATTTCCATGATTTGGATTTGCATCAAAACTATTTAAGTATGTGTTTAGTATGCTATGTTGCAAAATATATTTTAAAAGTATTTTTTTTTTAAAAAATAAATCAAAATAACTTTTTTCATATTTATTTTTTATTTCTTATGTAAGTACATCAAAACCATAAAAAACAAAAAAAAATCAATTTAATGACTTTTCTTGTCAAAAATACTTTTAAAACGTGCCTAAATATATTTACAAATACATTCTCAAACAACTTCAAACCATTAAAATATAATCAAATTCAAATTCTTTTAAATTTTTATTTTTTTAAATCACGTACGAGGTTAAAAACAAAACCTCTTAAAATTATAAATCCATTGACTGTTATATTTGTAGAAAGTTATGGATTTTAACTAATTAAACAACAAGTATTTTATTTAACTAGTTTAACACATTCTTTTTTAATTAAAAAAATCTTATACTAAATTATCTA